GTTACGGAAGAACTCTGCTGCTGGACGGAATAAAAGAGAATGAGTCAAACTATTGAACAATCGGAGTAAGGAGGGATAAGTACTGAATCTGACACTTTGACTGCATTACTAATCAAGTTCCCAGACGAGGCTATCATCGGTATTGTCAGGATACGGCCACTGCCCTCATTGCTCATTACAGGTAGAATATTACAGATAGTTAAGCTCCAGCTTAATTTTTAGAAAATGGCAGCAATATTTATAATTAAATTCTCTGTCCATCTCATCCGTTTCACGGCTATAAATACATATACATATTCTGGTTCACTTTTGATTAACAATCTAATCAAATGAGTGTGTAGAGAACCAATTGAACTGTCCAGCGAAAATACCGCAAACATGTATATGTTATTAACTTTGAATTAGAATCAATCCGGCAATCTTTCAGAGATCGGGTCCATAAACAATGGCCTGACCACGACCGCAAAGCCGCAATTGGAAATGCCTCATTGGACTGCCACAGTTGCAGCAATGTAATTACTACAGGCTTGTCCTGTTGTTCTGAAATTAATGTGAATTCATTTTTCGCTTATATTTACAATTTTCAAAGAGATGCCTGGCCTTGCCTCTATTTGATTTCACTCAACTCTTTCAGCCAGCACTGATTTACTGATGGTTTCACCAAAAACGAATCTATTACGTTTGTACTTTAATCAGCCTCGAAGCTTTCTGCTCACACGAAGGACAGGACTCTTTGCCATTTTCATTTAAATATGAAAAGATGCCTGTGCTTGTGTGTGAGGTTTGCATAAAAGGCCATTGAGCACGGGTGTTCAAGTATTAGAGGGCTACACTCACACCCACACCCACACCTACACCCTTACGCACACCCATAAGCATACCCAAACGCCTCCTGTTGCCACACTTGTTTGCACATTTCTCATTTGACGCACTCGCTCGGCTTTCAATGTTAATTATACTTGTTGGACACACCCCTTCGCCGCACCCTCCCAATGCCACTCATTATGCAGTTCATATGGGATCCATGGAGCATATAAACCATATAAAAGTGAGCATGTTTTCAACAGATTTTCCACCCTCATCCTTCCTCCTGCTACACATGCCACGCCATACGCTGGCTTGTAAAGCCATTTGCGTGGGCCGTTTTGTTATTTTTTCAGCTTCTCACCATTCGCTCCTTTCGCGTGTGCAACATTTCACCATTTTATTATAAATATGAAAATTAATCACTCAGCTAAGACGAGAGCCAGGGGAAGAGCCGGATCCGAACGCGGAGCTAGTGCCGGAGCCATGTTTCGGTCAGCAAAAATTTGTTAGCCTTTCGAAATGGTCCTTTAATTAGCTCGTTTCAAGCGGAATGTGACGGTTGGTTACCGTTCAGATGCCCTTTTCAGTTTTGCCGACGGATCATGTAAATACTCGTATATTCAGGGAGGGGGTCGGGGAAGTCTCCTCGCAATAAGTAGATGTAACTGTGGGTTACAAAATATTTTAGTCCGGACATTATTACACTGAGAATACTTCTCCTAGTTAAGACAATAGCTTTCTTCTCCACTTTGTTTTCATTTTCGCTCCTTGTCCTATACGCGCACGGATACTAGAATACTTGAAACGTCAAGTTGGTAGTGTCCCTGCCCCTGCCTTGTTGATTTGCCTTTGTTTCAGGCGGCGTGTTATTTTTTATTTCACGCTGGCAACACGCGACGCATACGCAATTTTCCCGCCTCAGATGAGGCTGTGAAATTTGGTCGTCGGTAATGAAAACTATGCCAGTCAAGCAGGGATCAAAAAACCAATGCAGTACTTTTGTCAAATCAGCCGGGGCAGCCGACGCAGACGGAAACGGGGCCAATCTCCGTCAGCTCAACCGAACTCAATTGGGCATGGCGATGGCCAAGTTCTGGTTTTATTTTCATTTTCATTTGCCAAACGGGGCCACTTGAATGCGCAATGAAGCTGCCACCCAGCGACAGGACAGTCGGAGCTGAAGTTGGAGCCAGCAGCCACCAAAAACAACAAGTTTCAGGGGAGCAAGAGAGCGTCAGTCGAACAATTTTGCACTTTTTGCATAAATTATACGCGCTATTCGGTTATTTTCGTTGCAACATTTCCGTTGCAATTTCCGTGACTATCGCTGGATATTTTTTGCCACAGAAAGTGCACTGGAAATCGTAAGGAGAAAGCCCCAAAAAGAGGCCTGGGAGGGAATGAAAAGTGCAACAGCCTCACTCGAGCTTATTGTTGACATTAAGTGCCGCCAGGCGGATCTACTCCCACCATCCACCCCCAGGGAATCCTCATCCCAGCCACAATTCTAGTGTTAATTAAGCTTACAGAACGAGGACCAGCAACGGCATAAAGCTGTTAAGTTTCCGTCCTGCCCTGTGCCAGTCCTCTGTTGTTTTAGCTGGCGGCAGCTTAATTATTTTCATGATTTTTCCATTTACATTTTCCGTTAACATTTTCCTCCCGATTTTCCTTTTGTCGAGTGTTTCTGGTTGTTTGTGGTCATCTCATTAAATTAAATCAATTAATTTTTCTCCGTTCCTACTCTGCATTTATATTTTATTATTTTCGAGCGTTTCACTGAAATGCTAAATAGCTGAGCAGTGAGATTATTTGCATATGAGATTTCATTGGAAGATTGGATTTTGTTTGGTAATTTTTGGTAATTCTTTTTTACAATTGAATTTAGCTGAAATTAACTCGATTTTATTTCAATGTGATGAGCCGATAAACACTATCCGTTCTCTATATATAAGCATAAGAGTACATATGTATACAGATAAATATTTGTAAAGGGAATGACATGTTAGCTTTAATTAGCCACGCCCCATTAACTATTTTGTTGTATTGCTCACTTATGCATTTACATGTGCATGTGAATTATCATTTTATCCCCCATGACTCTATTTAATTTTGCCAACCGATTTTTGTAGACTTTTTTTAATTGAAAACTTTTAAAACCTCGTTTTAATTTAATTTAATTTCCAACTTTTTTCGCCAGCTAGAACCAGAACCAGGTAGAGAGAGAACAAATAAATGCAACTAAAAATAAAACTAAGACAAAAAAATACAAGATTTTGTCGGCTTTTGTTTTGATAAGCTTTGAATGGAGCTCTACGGGTCCATATAGTATACGTATGTGTTCGCAGTTGGCTTTTTGTTGAATTGGAAGAGTTTTGTATGATTACTCTTTTTAATTCTGTTGTGGCAGGGGAATTCTTTAATGGGGGTTTTTTTGAGTTATCGTAGACTATTTACCAAAAGAGATAGAAAATCTGAGATACGCACAGTGGGGTAGACGTTTTCTTCACAAAATGTAGCCATAAATTCAATGTTGAGTTTTCATCAATCAGTTTTTGGAATATTACTCACACGCCGAGTAGTTTGTATCTATAGAACACTGCTAAAAATAGTTTGTGAATGTGTGTATATGTTGGATGTGCATATAGAGAGCGTGGAGCAATTTAAACGGCCTAGATTTCGTGGACAGCTGGTTGAATGCTCGCTCGCAACCCCGCACTCACATAAACACTCATACCCGTACGCTGAAAACATCACAAATTCTATTTTTCAGTTATTTGTTAAAATTGTGATTTGATTGTGTCCTCCTTTCCCACAGGGCATTTCTAGGAATTCCCCCATTATAGCACCTTATCAGTGGCCTTATCTCTGCTCCCAGTTCGCACTTAAATGGTTTTCTTTGGCTTTGACCTTTTCGCCTGACATCTCTAAGCTCTTTTCTGGGAAAGCCAATCATTCCTTTAACGATGATTTGAATATTTGACTTGTCAATTTTTGCATTTTCGTGCGGTTCGTGTAATTATGCAAAGTCTTTGGGAAATGTTATGGATGAATTAGCATGCACCATATCTTAGAGGTTTTTAATGGAAAACAAGTTGCGTGGTAAATGACATGCATACCTCTTATGTTTTTGTAATAAACTATTAAATAATCAAAATTTTCTGTATTTGAAAATACTTGGAAATCGAATTTTTTATTAACTGAAAGTATTTATTTATCACTCGTATTTTTGTATATTATTTATTGTGCTGCCTGAATTATTTTATAGCCAATCTCGTTTATTCAATTATAGACTAACACTTTTTGACTCATTTAGTCATTTATTCATATAATCTTTACAGTAGTTTGCCAATCAGTATTCATAATCATGTTTCTACTTGTATGTATTAGGTGTATTTTTGATTTATTTTAATTCGCTTTTCTTTAAGGTTCCCACACATGGTATTCTCTGTAATTTTCTTCCACTTGACACATTTCTTTGATCACTTCATACGGGGTCTTTTTGACTCTGGCTAGCAGAACCGCAGAGCTTTTCCAATTAGTTTAATGCATCATTTTGTAATTTCGGCAGGAAGCCAAGGAAGTGCTCTTTCATACAAATATGTACTACATATATAGCACATGCATATATATTTTGTTTAGACAGGCACAAGCCAAGTTTCTAACCACTTCATAACACTCGACAGCAAATGTCTTCGCCTGCATTCGTACTTTTTAGCTTTTTCTGTTTTGCTGATGTTGTTTTTATATAAACAAGAAATGCGGCTACAACAAAATATATTACGGCTTGATGCTGCTGTTGGAAAAGTTTATTACGTTTTTGGCTCTTTAGTTGGCTTTTCCTATTTTTGTTCCGTAGACAAAACGGCGGCGGGCACGTCTTCCGGTTGAGAACGGAATCGGAATTATAACTAGGCGAAATTTGATTACGGTTGATGTCAGAGAGACGGAATGGGAATTGCAGAACTTGTTAATTTGAATGGAAACTGAAGGCAACACAGACACAGATAGGGGAACGGGAACAGAATCAGACACCCAAGACAGATAGATAGATATATGGATGATTGCTTGGCGGCAACTGCAGAGGCATTCCTCTCAAAATTCCAATTGATCGAGCCCAATGGAGAGGTCGATGCAATGACTATCCGTCCCCGTATCTGAGGCTGGTTGAGACACGCGAGGGCCCAACTTACATATACTCCCACACGCACACGGAGACGCACACCACACGAAAACTGACTTTCGCGGAGGAGATTTTCTCAAAGGGAAACCAAGTCCGAACCGAAACCGAACCGTTACGAACCGCACGTGGCGACAGTCAAGCGGCAACTGAATTCAGCCCCAGCTGGAGAACGGCAGAGCGTTCAGCCAGAGTTTGCGGAGCAGAGCGGAATCGGCTCAGAGCGAAACCTGACGTGAGTGGAAAGCCGGCGAAAGAGCATAGCAAAACAGAACAGCGAGAGCCCAGAGAGAGAGTGTGAGAGAGAGTGAGTGAGAGAGTGGGCTCGCGCAACAGGTTGCTCTTCTGGTCATTTAGCCTCGTTAAGAGTGCACGACCATGCTCCTCTTTGGGTCACACTCTGCGTATGGGCGATGTACATAAATACATACATACATACATTTGAACGTATGGCTAACAATGTTCTTTGTGTGTGTGTGCGTGTCGGCAAATCACCGACAAATTGTTCAGAAAGTACACATGACTCGGATTACGAAATGGGTTTGTCTTAGCCTGCAGCTCCTACCTTGGTCATCTCGTCCAGTTGTGGCTTGTCAAAGTAGATATACGTATACGTACAATAATTCTGCGATGGAAACACCAGCGCAGAGCTGGGCATAGATCCAAATAATCATGAGATTTCTAGTCCTGTTTTCGGCTCTTGTATAACTTATATCGATTATATAAATGAAGGAAATTTGAGAACAAATAAGAATACTTTCACAATAATATTGCTAGGAGGCTACTAATTTTGAGAACTATATCATAACAAAGGTACTGCTCTCATTCAGGGTACTTGATTTTGTATCTCCGAAGAACACGACCAAAATGGAGCAACCAAAGTCCTTCTGATTAATTTCTGATGGAACCGCTTGGGACGCTCTCAACTCCAAATTTTAATAAAAAATCAATACGAAATAAATAACACAAATTTAAAAACACTGTAGGTGTGGATGGCACTGTCAGCTAATCAGGAGGTAGTTTTGACTACCAAAACCATCACTGTAGCGTGTCTGTGTGTCTGTCAATGGTGTAACAGCGCCTATTCAAGGGGAAAACTCATCAGAAGACTCTGCAACAGTCTGGGGGTCCGAGTCTGGATCTGGAACTCTCTGCAGAGCTGGATCAGTGTCCAATGTGACGATTGCCACATCGCATGGTTCAATCGATTCAGATTCAGTGACCGTGTGCAGACAGTGAGCGACAGATTCAAATACTGAATTGGATAGAGAAGCAACCACGTTATCTGCCATTATATTGTATATATCCCTGACCACAATTTCCACATCGGCTGGCTCTGGCTCACTGATCGAGGCCAGGGCATTGTGAACAGTAACCTTTATCTCCTGTAGCTGGTGGTTCATGGCTTCGATTCTCCGAAGACTTTCGCGGGAAGTCTGCAGGGCAATACTGATGCGGTCGCACAGTGCCTGATGTTCAATCCGCATATTGGCGGCATTCTCCCGAAGACATTCCAGTAGCATGCAGCGGTGGCTGGTAGTCATCATGGCCATCATGTGTACTTGCGCATTTACAGAAAATATAATATTTTCATATACCTGTACGAGTATATCTTACTCGGTAAGAGCTGGGGCTAATACTGATACTGTCAGAGAGAAGGAGAAACTGTAGCCTGCTGTGTTTGTTGCTCAATTAGATGATTGTCATCAATTATAATAATTGACTGAGTAAGCCGATTAGTTGGCTTATGAATTAAACATTATGAGAGTTTCCCACAGGCACCCACCTCACCTCCTCCTGACCATGCCACACCAGGCGAAAAATCAATGTCGCAATAAACATAATCGTCATTAGCTTATGCTTCTCAAGAGGCCGAGGGACCCTTACACCACAGGAAGGACATTTTTATGACAGCATCGTTGCCTTTGCCTTTGGCTTCTGCTTCTGTTTGGCGGTGCATTCATAATTGATCCTGGTCCTGTGGGCACCAGCGTGTCCTTTGGGACGAGATAAGCGTTTAAGCAAAATTAGGACTAAGAGCTTTAGTATCATTTCATTTGGTGCCCCAACCAAAGGGATTCCCGAGCCACATTCCCTCAATCTCTTCATCTGTATTCTTTTTTTTTCTATTAATTTAAAATGAGCCAGAATGGGGAAAAAAAGCCCTGTTAATTGGTCAAAGCACTAATTTCACTTCAAGAAAAGGGGAGAGTAAATACATGCGACTTGAAGATGGGACCGGCAACTTTGCAGGGAATATAATACAATTGGTAAGAAGTTTGAAGGAACTTAGAGTTTTATAACTGTTAAAGTTTTTTTTTTATTAATCGTTCAATTATTATTATTTAATTATTTTCTCACACCCCAACCGGAGATTTGAATGGTACGTAAGTATATTTTATTTGTCGTCTAATTGCAAGAGTATATAAACCTCGGTGCGCCGAATCCTATTTCTTACTGGTTACTAATTAGATTGGTAGACAAATAAGACTGGCTCAGCTGCCTTGCGGTCTAGGTCAGTGTCAATATGATGAGGGTTTCTTGAGGTTAGGAATTGCGTTTACTGCTCTGTCAGCTGGTAAAAGAGGAAGAAGGAAATTAAACTGAGGGGATCAGCTATAGTAAAAATAATTTAAAGCCTATGATTTTTCGTTGAATAAACGGAGGAAGTGGATACATTTTAAAAGAGAACCATACACATTCTGATTGAGTCGGAGTCCAAAAATTATAAAATTGAGTATACCTCAGAATTAAAAATATTGCATTAATAAATTATTTACGTTAATCTACTGCAAAGACTAGGAAAACTCACAATTTAATTTCATTTTCACCCATTACTCGCCCCGTTCAACACATGCCCGCAGCAGCCATAAAGTAAATGGGAAATTCTATATATTTTCCATTCCATCATTCCCTCCACCAGCGCCTCTAAGCCGACTATGCAAATTGAAGTCAAGAGGCATTAAGTCGAATCCCGAAACTAAAATGCTACTCGATGACACAATTGTCAGGGCTTTATCGGCTTATTCCTATTCATGAGTGCAGACACTCACACAGACCTATGAGCTGGTATCGCAAAGAAAAAAGATTTGGGAATTTTCAACAGTTTTCTCAACTTTTTCTAGCTGGTGTCGAACTCTTGTGCATACATGCACACATGCATATATCAGATAAACCATTTTTCAACTTTAACTGGAAGCTGACATCATGGTGAAATGTTGAAAATATTTTTGACTGCGTGGGACAGAACGTTTTCAGGTTTGAATAGGTTGAGTTTGTGTTTAAAATTATAAGCGCAAAAATTGCAATGTGCATCGATTCGTCTGATAAAGCTTATGGTTTCGCCTATGGTATAATATCAAGTCTAGTTGAAAATTTCACAAAGTTGCAATATTTTCCACTCTTACTCCCATCTCATATTTGTTCCCTCCATTAATGGTTATTTTGTGTGCAGAAAATGTAAATGACAAACACCTTTTGACATCTCCAAGCTTTTAATTGACAAATTTAAGCTGCTCTTTGTGGACATTGCCATTGCCTTGTTGTCCAGGGGCTGTAAAGTGCACACGTTAACTCTTTAAACCAAAGTGAATTGAAAGCAGGATGCAATCGACCCGAGAAATGCAGTTAACTAAGGATCTGTCAACGTTCTCTCTTCCAGCCATCCCTCCAGCCCAGTTTGAAATTGATGTGCGGCTGAAAGGTGATTTATTGCGACCAATGAGGGAAAGGACTCTCTCTCCCTCTCTCTATCTGTCTGGTTTTGTGTTTGCCCAACAAGTTTTGGTTAGGTTTTCGTTATGCTGTAGTTTATTTTGTAATTCAATCAAGGAGACCTTTTTCAGCATTTCCAGCATAATTGATGATGAATACCGAACACTAAAAAGGCTAAATGTCACAAAAGAGACGGGTTCATATACATAGGCCAATAAATTCTACCATAATATCTGCTACATACTGTGGGAATGAGTAGGAGTTCGAATCGAATAAGCACACCGAAAAAAAGAGAAACAAGTTAGGAATCTGAATTCGGTTCGTCTAGGTTTGTATACTCTTCTATTTCGGAGCTCAATAAATCTATCGCTGAATCCTTCCTAATCGCATTTCCATCCCTCCATATGTTGATACTACCGAAGCTGCATGTACATACATACATATGGACATGTGTGTAGAAACTTTTGTGAAACCATCGATTGCTTATATCGATCGATGGCCGATCGAATGATCGACAAGATGATGCACATGGATGCTTCAACAAAAGTTTGTTGCATTACGAGTATTCAAAGATGAATTATAACACAATAAAAATAAAGGAGTATATATTTTGTACGAGCATCAACTTTTCCTCCTCGTTTCACTCCAATGAATCCAATAAGTACTCGTAAGTCATTTGACAGTCTAAATAGCTCTGGACCCAAATCAATATAAAAATGCCAGCTATACAAAAAAAGCAGCACGAAATTCCAAGCAATTTTTTACGAAAATTTTACACTCGACTGAGTATTTTGTATTAATTTTTCGGGACGAGAGTGGATGAAGTGATTGAAGATGTGGAAAAATGTTTCCCTTAAAGTTGTTCAGCGTAATATAAACTTGCCCGGAATCGTGGAGATTGCCTTGAACTTTACTCATTATCCCGACTATTAACTGTCGCTCTACAGGCATGCCGATATTCGCGAGTAGGAGCTCGACTCAACTATGCCAACTACTTACAAAAGTTTCCCTTGGCTCCTCCAAGGCATAACACCTATCATTTGCATCTGTCTCCGCTGTCTCACGGACACTTCCTCCTGGTTGTCGCAGGCATCCATATCCGTGTCCGTGGCCGTGTCACTTGGCAGCCAACGCAAGTCAAACACGAAAAGTTCGATTGCATTTTTGGTGGTTTTGCTTTCCGCTTTCAGCTTCCCGCCCCTTCACTTGTGCGGCACGTGTCTGTGGGATGACGCATACACCACGTTGCGCGAATGTTGACTAATTAAACTAATCTGTCCGCCTGCCTCGATGGCTGAGCAAACACCTTGAGCTGAAATTATTTCGGATTGCCTCCCATGCTGTGCTACTCGTATGTTTCACAGACCGCAGCACAAAAGTATATTTCACTTTTATTTCCAACTTTTGCTGTGATTTCAGTTTCGCTTTCCCCATTTTTCAGGGGTTTTTCCCGCTTTGCAATTTAATTTTTGTACTTCTCTTTTTCGGCTTACTCGCCATGTTTGCGTAGCTGAAATTGTTTTCCATTTGAGGTGGCCCGCATCGCCCTCGCCCTCGGGGATCGAGCAGAGTCGGTATGCCGGAAGGAGACACAAGAGATATACGAGTATGTAGGGCTGGGGACGGTTTAGAGTCGCAATTTGGGGTTTGGTACTGTGTTGGGTATCTGTTTCAAGTGGCACAGGACCCACAACCTGTGCGATGATAACCAGTAAATGCTGCTCTGGGCATTGGGTATTGCATTGGGTTGGCCACATAATTCATTCCATTCACTAGCGGTATTTATATGCTTGGATAAGCTTCGCGACTGTCGAAAATAGGGCCAGTAATGCTTTAGCTACTAAAGTGCACATTCACTCTGTCGATAGACACTGCTCTCTCTTGAGACTGAAACTGTTCAGCCGCCCCTTCTTTTTTTGTTAATAAGCGCACCATGCAAATCGATTGGTGGTCTCTACTCCAAGAGAACCCAGAGCTCTCTGCTGCACACCAGTAGGTGCGGGCCCGTTAGTACAACTTGGCAGACCGGTGGCACAGAAACGTGGACCGCAACAAACGTGACAGAAATGAAACCAAAGGTGAGTTCAATGAATCGGACAGATGTGTAGGGGAATAGGGAGTGCGAGAAGCTCATTAAAAACTGCCAATGTCATGCACAGATATCGTTAAAGGCGCTGCTGCTTCTCCTATCAGCAATTGCGGAGGCGAGCTCTGGCGAGCACCACAACAAGAATGATAGAGGAATAATCTATGGCTCTGCCAACAGCTCCAGCTTGATGCAGGGAAACACTAGAAGTACGGTGGACAAGGAGTGCCAAGATTTCAACCAGATAGCAAGGTGGATCAATCAGCAGGTGGTGGTGACCGGGAAACTAACGCGGTTCAATCAGCGTCTGGGCCAACTGCTTCAGGCCCTCAATAACACCGCCCCGATCGAGCACTGCTGCTTCTACGAAAAGACCACAATGGACAAGGTAATGGAGTACTTAAACAACCTGGCCGAAGACCAAGGCAGTTCGGTGCAGGGAAATTGGAATCCTCTCAAGACAAGCGGTGAGCTGGGCCAGGACCTGGACAACATTCTGGCCCAGATGGGAAAGCTCATAAGCCGGGACATAAAGAGCTGTTGTGATCAGCTGGTTAAGGACCTCAAGAAACAGGAAGAAAACCTGCAGAACAACTTGGAGGAGCAACGGAAGAAGCTGGAAAAAGCCAATGGAGAGCATGGCAAGGCGATGGGGGAGCTGCAGGAAAGGCAAGCAGAACTAGAGAAGCAGCTGGCGGATTTACGGGAACAGCTGGAAAAGTTTGAGGAGAAGCTAAGAAAGAGCGGAGAAAGTTTCAGCGCCAAATGCTGCGCGAAACTCGATGAGAAATTACAGGACTTAGAGAGCCGAGCCACGACGGCCAAGAATGAGGGTGTCGACAAGGCTAAGGAGTTTGAGAAAAAGTTGGACGATCTTAAAGATGGACAAAAAGGTCACGAAGACAAGCTGAATGACATCCAGAGAACAATAAGCGAAAGAAAGGGAAATATATCAAACGCCCTTGACATGTGCAAAGAGAACTGCGGCACTGGATCGAATGGAGGATCAAACCCAGGCACATCCGATCTAGAAACTAAAATTGAAGCCTTAAAGAAACTAGTCAAGGATCTTTCCACAAGGATCGCTGATCTGATCCCTTCAGATGTGTCTTTCGACATGAAAGAGAACATTAAATCTTGTCAAGATATTGGAAAACTGCTATCCAATATAGAAACTCTGCTTCAACAGTCTATGAAAGGACACAATCCAGCCGGACAACCAGCTGAAATCAGTAAAGAAGGGGCCCCATCTGATCTCTCTGATGGGAAGTTCGACGGTCGCATCAAGGACCTGGAAAGGCAAGTGAAAGAGCTGCAGACACAAGTGGGAAGGTCCAGGCACTGCTGTAAATTCCTCGAGGGTATCGGGAATGATGCCAATCAACTAAAAATTAATGTCGACAAAATAAATGAAACCTTCACCGATCACATTAGCGATTTGGAAAAGAAAACGGGGCATCTTCGAAAAAAGGTGGATGAAGCTCTTGGAAAAATAAAGAAGCTTGTCCCCCACAAAGGCTCTGGCGATGGCAGTGGCAGTGGGAGCGACGACCTGCTAATGGACATTGACAGAGTTAAAGAGAATCTGGACAACTCCACGAGAGATATCGAAAATCTTCAGACTCAGCTGGATAATATGATGGGTCACATTTCGGTGCTAACGAAAACTGTCAAGGATAAGTTCGCCATGACAGAGGATCTCAAGACGCGCCTGCTTCAGTTGGAGAAAGTTTGCGAAGACCTAAGAAAGGATGTTGAAAGGGCTCTGAAGCTGGTCCAGCGCATTGATGACCTGGAGAAACGACTTGATGATGCGTTGGAAAAACAGAAGCAGCTGGAGATCCAGGTGAATAGTTGCCTTGCCAAGTGCAAGACTTTGGACTCGATCGATGATCTCATAGATCGCATTGAGGATCTGGAGAAGGTGGCCAAAAGCAAAGTCAAAACTACACGGCCGCCACGGCGTACCACCAAGAAGACAGATGCGTGGGTGGGCGGGATCGATATGGTGACCCCATTTATCCAACCTTAATAAATAAATATTCGTATCAAACTTTGAGAGATAACCTGGTGTCTTTATCCTATTAGAAATCGAAATTGAAACCCACGTTGAGTACCCGGCTAGCCTTGACTTATTACTCAGATATGTTACAATCAAAATGTTCAAATTGAAAACATTGCGAGGTGAGGAGACGGGGCTCGAGTCTGGCCTGCAAGTCTGCAAGAAGTTGGAGGACGATCTAGTGGAATGCCTGAATGTCGTTGACCGTCTGAGCCGGAAATACAAAGATCCAGTTGAGGATCCCGTGCCCGTGAACAGCTTGGGTTCACCGTCTACACTAGAGACAAGCAGCTGCTCCGACCTTAGTGGCAATTCCTTGTTGCGGCAGGACCCGGAGGTGGAAGCGATAAGCACACCAGTCGGAGCCAGGAGCGGGCAACAGCTGAGCAGCTCTTACGTGGATATGCACACGAAATGCATTAAGATTAAGCGCGAACTGGAAGGCACGATTTCGCTCAACAAACAGATAAGCGAATTGGCATATCGTCAACGGAAAAATGACTATAGCATTCCCGAAGAGATCACAGTCTACCTGGAGAATATGAAGAAGAAGTCCTCAAAACAATAGAGGTTGTTGCTGTTGCTTTTTATTATATTCCATCAAAGTTTTGTCTGCCGGTGATCGGGACTCAGAAATTGAACATTTTCTCGACACTTGGCAGCTTTTATTAAAAATTACTGTCACCATAAGACGAGACAGAGAAGTTGAGCAACTTTCAAAACTCATTTGGCTTGACATGAAAATAAGGCAAAGTTTTTCACTGTTTTTATACCCGGTAATCGTAGAGTTCAGGGGTATATTGTACTCGTGAAATGTTTGAAACAGACCACAAGAATTATTAATGATCGTTCCTTCCTCTCCCGATAATCGACAGACAGATTTTGAAGATGTGTATCCAGAACTCTCGAGATAGAGGCATTGTCGATTGTTCCAGATTCTCTTGTCGATTCCAGCCTTACTAGCTTCCTTACTAGCGGGTATATTATAGACGGAATGTCGACTATAGCGCTTCAACTGCTCTGCTCTGTCGCAACACATATTTTGCTGTGCCCAACGACGAGGCGGACGATGATAGAACAGGAACAAGTCAACTGCATGTTTGTGTTTATGTGCACGACAATGTGTAAATACAAATACTCGGGACAGGCGAAAGAATATGGGGAAAATATGAGAAATTGCCAGGGCAAAACTTGAGATAATGTAATGCAAAAGTGGCCCTGGACCAGCACCAGGACCAGGACCAGGACAGACGCAAGTTTTTCCCAACGCTTTTTCAACTTTGTTTTTTCCCTCTGCCCTTCCGAGGGTATGTGTTTGTATGTAAGAAAATATTTGTGCGCGCCAAAGTTGAACATTATTTTTTGTGTTGCCTCGAAAGGGGAATCCCCGCACTTCGTTAGAGGAACAAGTAGCCGGAGCCGGGAGCTGGTCAGCTGGACAGGGAAAGGACATAAAACAGTGAAGTTTTGCATATTTAAAGTAATATCAAGGGGGAAAACGAAACTTTTCCTTTTCATTATTATTCTTGTTTTCTGTTATTTCTTTCGATATTACCCCAAGGGGTAGAAATGTGGAGCGGGAGGGAGCTCTGTTCCATTGAATAAGCACACACAAGCAGTGGTCCTAAATTGGGTTCAAAAGGTGTTCATTGAGTGAGTGCTGCGGTCATTCATAATGATGGGGTCCAGGGTACTGGGGAGTAGAAAGGACTTTCAGTTGGAGCGGACGGGAGAGGGAAGAGCAGGCGAATGAATGAAGAGCATTGAATGAAAATGCAGTTTAGTTTCCTTTACGCTTTAAAGAAAGCTAAAATTGTGCACATTTCTAATACCCCACCTAACCGCAATCACCTCAATCGGATCATCATTCTGATGGCATAGCAATGCATTTTCTGCACTCATTGTATGCCCATAAAATTGCAAACTTTATGGTACTTTCTTTTTATGTATATAGTTTTTCGTTCTTTCTGTTTCCTCGAAACAGTCACAGCTAACATTGCCATTAAAATCCGCTTTATGGGGCCTACGTCTCTGCTCGGTCATCGATTGATAGAAGAACGGAAATTTATTAGCTCTTTAATGGCCTATCCAGGACTGACCAGGCCGGGCCACAGAACCAACTTGGAATAATGAGAAGTGCTGGCTTCGACTCTGCCGATTCCGAAAGCAAGCCGAACGTGTTGTAAGCAGCCACACCACCTAATTGTTGAGACAACAACAGCTTCCTTTGGACCAGATGTGTCTTGGTCTGGCCCAGCTTAAATGAAAATACAAGCCAAAAATCAAAGTCTAAACATCCCCCAATTGTTGTTCACTAAACAGACTCCAGATTGGGGCATGATTGTACGAGTATGTGCGTATATCTGCGATATCCTGTATGCTTTCAACCTCATGCTCTAGCTAAGTGTATCCGGAATTGTTCAATACCAATGGGAACCGCAGCAAACTTCTCCGTGGTTTCGTCAGAGCCAGAGCTCTCGTTGTCCGGTTGGCCCCTTTGTGTGCGTTGCTGAGGCCATTTGAGGCCATAGGAGATTTTGCAAACAAGTTTGTTTAATTAAGATTTCCTGCGGGTCAGTTGATTGACTTTAAGTGCCGAGAACTAACCAAATTAATGAGGGAACTCCCGGCAGAGCCTCAGGACAAGAAGAGAAGAGGCGTCTGGCGAAATCCCATCCACAAAGACTGAACGAGTGAGGGCAAGATTCTATCGGAAGGAACTGAACCCTTTAGGATGAATAAATGCATATTTGCTCAATTAACTTCCGTGGTGAGATGGTTGGGATAGGCATCCACAGGGATGCGAGCTTCTGTTTCTCTAGACTTCCTTTATTGCTACTAATACATAATTACTTCCGATATTTTTTTTATTAAATTAAAATTGGTTTATAGCACTATGCAGTTTAGTTATTGCTTTATTCGTTTATGAAGTTTAAGTATTTATTCAACCGTGCAGCTGAGTCCGTGTCCCAAAAGAGGTTCCAGGCTAACTAAATTAATGGCACAGCCAGGAGGGTAAATACCGAAAATAGAGACCCAGAAAAAACCGAACACATTCCTTGAGAGGACCACAGCTCATAAATATGTATGTATGAATCCCCGAGGGGCAGAGGCAAACACGCTAAGCACTTCCGTATGAATAAATATTTAATCAATCAATTTCGACAATTTTCCCTTTTCGAGGCTCGTCAAATGCATAGCATAAACTGAATGGATACATTTTCATCTACCCACGATGATAGGAATGATGAGGTTGATGAGATTGAGAGTGGGGGTGGGGATGGGAATGAGCATACGAATGGGGATGGGGATGAGGATGGGATGCCTTTGTCGCTGTCGTTGAAGCATAAAACAAGTCAGACACATAAAAGAAGATTTGATTGAAATGCTAATTTCCACAGATTACAGCCAAGAGTTTAACTCAAGAAAATAACTCGAGTCCATTTGGACTTAGTCATCATCATCATCAGAAGGAGCAATAGCCTTCAAAGCAATGGCATGACAGGACACTTCTCAGTCGAAGCCCATCAGCCGCAGCCCTGTTTAGCTTTAGTTTCAGTTCCAATTTCGGTTTCATTTTCAATGCGATTGATTTCCACGAATGCTCATTTCCCACACTCTTTCCCAGCTGCGATTATCGAATCGTTGTTAGTTTGTCCACTGTCTGTGACAGGTTACGTTGAACTTGGGGATTTAATGGCGCTGGAGCTGGCTCTGACCCTGTCTCTGTTCAAGGTGGGTTCGATATTCAAACTGTTCACCTGTGCGTGCGTTCAAATTTGACGGCATACTGCAGGTAATTTGAAGTGCTCGTAGCTCTGAAGGCTTTGCAGACAAGTAAGTATTTAATCTGCATATATGGTTCATTGGCTCATTCTCTCAACTCTCGCAGACCAGTTATTGCAAACAGTTTTTAATTTCAGTTTATTTTTATTGACTGATAAAACCATTCCAATTGTCTTCTTTCTTTAAGTTACTGTTTGATATTGTTGAAATATGATTTCTGAAACCCTACTCCGTTTAATTTATGTAGGCCGATTTCTTAGGTTCTTTCCCAGAGATTTTTTGCAAAAGTCAACATAAAAGCCCTATAATTTATCTCCGCCTCCGAGCACTGTTACTCTGCGTGCATCACTCTGAGCATCTCTCCCACTCCTAGACTAACTCTCACTTACTCATCCGAGTGAGTTGGCCTCAGTCAAGTTGGTTATCACACGCAAAGAAGAGACGCACAACATTGAGGCAAAGTTAACTTAAGCATGAAGCTGAAGTTGTTGCAAAATGAACGACTGTGAACGAGTACAGGAGTCTGGGACTGCGACAACCCATACCAGCTACATTCCCCGACTATGAAAAACTGTCAGAGAAACAGCAGTGCCAGTCGCCGCGGAGGGAGCAGCTGCAACGTGCCACAGTTGCAGCAGTTGAAGTGATAAACGCGCAGTGCAATGGTTGCCGTTGCTGTTTCTGTTGCTGTTGCCGTCGAGATTTGCCATCTGACAAAATGCTTTTGACATTTTCGCAAGTTAACAATAAAAATATTTCATATAATTTAACGCTGCTGTGTCAACAATTTATGGCGAATTATCTTCAGCTTTGGCTCCGGGTTCGGCCCGGCCCTGTCACAGCTTCTGCCAATAGTCGGGCTTGAGAATGCTCTATCATATTTATTGCTTTTAGCATATTTGTTTGGGCTCCAGGCAATCTGTCTTTGTGTGCCGCAAAATGCAAATTCTCAGTCTCAAATTTTCCGACTCTGGTTTTCATTTGAGGTTCGGCAAAGTTTTTGGGAAAACAAAAAGCCCTTGACAAAGTGCAGCTGCTCGGAAGTGCTTCGGGTACAATTTTTTGAAGGGCGGTCAATGAAAACTTTATTTGCTGCCGAAAGAACAAAGCCAGAACTTCAGCATGAGCTGGATGGTCTCGTTGGGGATGTGTGTGTGGATAGAAAGTCTCAAATAAATTGTGAATGTCAGGGAAAGTGGCACAAATTTTTGTGGAAGTGTTCATATGAATGATATTTTGTTTTGGGCGCAGATTCAGTTCGGGAGACACCTGAATTATAGTTTTATTCTCAGTTCTTCAGAATTGAAATTATTTACACCGATATAAAGTATTTTCGTGGAGCATGGTGCTAGGCTAGTCGTCTGGACTAGTTTCCTTTAATATTAAATTGTTAAATGAAAGGCAATAAAGGGGAACCATTTGTATTGTGTTGTTTTTATTCTGGTATTATTAAGTCAATATTTAAGACAGGATTTGGTTCTTAATTGTTGTAATTTTTTTGGAAGTTTCCTTAGGCATTATTGAATTGGCATTCAGAGGTCCGTAATAGCTTTCTGATTCTCTTCTAGTTCTCTTCCTCCTTTTCTGTCAGGATCTCTTCAGTTATCGGAAGGGGTTTTGAGCCCCCTGGACCTTCAGTCATCTTTTCCAGCGCAGTCATATCGATATTGGCCTGCTTGGATTCACCATCACCACCCGCTTTCTTAGCCTCACCGGCATCCATCAACCTGCCGGGCAGCTGAGCCTTCAGGTCCCGCTGTAACTGATTAACCAGTGTACAGCTCGAACTCACGCGTGCCATGACCCGCGCCATACGCTCCTGAATTCCAATCATAATCTGATCGAACTCAGTGATTTCTTCAGTATCTTCTTCGGTAGCCGCAGCTCCCAAGGCCAAGTCGACATGATTGTTGCTGTTGTTAGTGTCGGAGTTCTCCACGAGTTGCTTATCTTCCAGTAGAACCTTGCTCAGAGATTCC